TTTTGTCAAGTTCAAGCATGTGTTGATGTTCCGGTCTTTACTTTGGCAATCGTTCCTTCATGTACATGTGTTCCAAAAGTTCACTTCTTCCTTTTGTCAAGTTCAAGCATGTGTTGATGTTCCGGTTCTTACTTAGTCAATCTTTCCTTCATGTGCATGTGTTCCATTAGTTCACTTCTTCCTTTTGTGGAGTTCAAACATGTGTTGATGTTCCGGTTCTTACTTAGTTAATCTTTCTTTCATGTGCAGGTGCCCTGTTAGTTCACTTCTTCCGTTTGTTAAGTTCAAGAATGTATTGATGTTCCGGTTCTTACTTAGTCAATCTTTCCTTCATGTGCATGCGTTCCATTAGTTCACTTCTTCCTTTTGTCAAGTTCAAACATGTGTTGATGTTCCGGTTCTAACTTAGTCAATCTTTCCTTCATGTGCATGTGTAACACTAGTTCACTTCTTCCTTTTGTCAAGTTCAAGCATGTGTTGATGTTCCGGTTCTTACTTAGTCAATCTTTCCTTCATGTGCATGTGTTCCACAAGTTCACTCCTTCCTTTTGTCGAGTTCAGACATATGTTGATGTTCCGGTTCTTACTTAGTCAATCTTTCCTTCATGTGCATGTGCTCCACAAGTTCACTCCTTCCTTTTGTCGAGTTCAGACATATGTTGATGTTCCGGTTCTTACTTAGTCAACCTTTCCTTCATGTGCATGAGTTCCATTAGTTCACTTCTTCCGTTTGTCAAGTTCAATTATGTATTGATGTTCCGGTTTTTACTTAGTCAATCTTTCCTTCGTGTGCATATGTAACACTAGTTCACTTCTTCCTTTTGTCAAGTTCAAGCATGTGTTGATGTTCCAGTTCTTACTTGGTCGATCTTTCCTTCATGTGCATGTGCTCCGTTAATTCACTTCTTCCGTTTGTTAAGTTCAAGCATGTGTTGATGTTCCGTTTCTTACTTAGTCAATCTTTCCTTCTAGTTCACTTCTTGCTTTTTGTCAAGATCAAGCATGTGTTGATGTTCCGGTTCTTACTTAGTCAATATCTCCTTCATATGCATGTGTTACACTAGTTCACTTCTTCCTTTTGTCAAGTTCAAGCATGAGTTGATGTTCCGGTTTTTATTTAGTCAATCTTTCCTTCATGTGCACGTTTTTCATTAGTTCACTTCTTACGTTTGTCAAGTTCAATCATGTGTTGATGTTCCGGTTCTTACTTAGTCAATCTTTCTGTCATGTGCATGTGTTCCACTAGTTCACTTCTTCCTTTTGTCAAGTTCAAGCATGTGTTGATGTTCGGGTTCTTCCTTGGCCAACCTCTCGTTCACATGCATGTGTTTCACTAGTTCACTTCTTCCTCTTGTCGAGTTCAAACATGTGTTTATGTTCCGGTTCTTACTTAGTCAATCTTTCCTTCATATGCATGTGTTCCACTAGTTCACTGCTACTTTTTTGTCAAAGTTCAAGCATGAGTGGATGTTCCGGTTCTTACTTTAGTTGCTCTTTCTCTAAGGGATGTTTGACCGACATTGGGCTGCTATTACGGGGTGATGACTTGATTAGGACTATGATACTTTTGCCTTCCCTCTCTCTCTCTTTCTCTTTCTCTCCTTCCTTCTCTCGCTCTCCCTCTATCCCTTTCCCTTCTCTCTCCCTCCCCCTCTTTCTCCCTCTCTCCTCTTCCCCCTTGCCTTTTCTCTCTCCCTCTCTCTTCCCCTCTCTCTCCCTCACATCATCATCTGACCCTCTCTCTCCCTTCCCCTCACTTGGCATATGACTAACCCTTCTCCCCCCCTCACTTGGAAAACATTGCCAGGGCACAAGCGGAGAACGAAATCAGACCTCACTTGGTGGAGAAAGAGGACAAGGGGGGGGTAGCCGGTCCCTTGTGCCACGAAGAAGGCAAGAGAGAGGACGTCCAAAAAAGGAAGTGGGAGAGACGGAATCCGAAAGAAAGCATAAGTTGAAAGTGAGGTCAGTTTGACTCAACCATATCCCTGACTGCATGACTATGAGAAGAGAATGGGCTGATTGAACAACAAGAGGGAACAATGAGCAGCAAAAGGACTTGAAAAAATAGGCATGTGGGCAGGGCTATGTGTTGACCCCCGATGGGGGATTGTATGGATCTTCTTGTTTGTGTGGGATTGTGCAGGTAAGTGATGGATAAAGATGCCTTGAGCGGGATAGGGGTAAGTGAAACCGGGCATTAAGAGGGAAAGGGAAAAGGGCGTAGGGGCTATGGGACCCTTGACATAGAACTACCCCATGGATATGACTTGTGCGTTTGAAGACTTGGGATGCAAATGAGAGTGCTGTCATGCCAAGGAAAAAGTGATGTTGTGTGTGCATGTATATGAGGACCCCGAAAAGACTAAGGGGCCTACTTCAATAAGGTGGGAAGCAAATTGAGAGATCCGATGGATGCGTAGAGGCGAGGGGGAGGACGGCCCCACCGCACCCCGATGACGCCATATAGCCAAAATGCTTAGGGAAATGGTGCATGGCCTAAGGATGACGCTTAGCCTACGCACAAGAGAAGAGAAAGGCTCAAAGAACCCCAGGACTGCCTGCGTATTGGAAGGAGCAGTTGCTTGAGAACACAATAAAGAATCAAAAAAAAAATCAGCGTTGCGGAACGACCAGCGAGACTACTACCCGGTGTGAGGGCTGAGCTAGATCCCCAATGTCAAGGCTCTCTTGCGCGATGGCCCACCCCCATCCATCTCAAGGCACTAGGTGGGGATGACCTTGGGACGAATGGCCCGCGCCCTGAGCATGAGTGTGGGCGGGCCGAGCCAACTGGGATCCGCAGTGGGGTCGACTAAGGCTCGAAAGTCTACCGGGGTTTCGCCCTACAGCGGTCCCCCCTAACTTTAAAAATTCAAATTTGAATTTTCATGGAAGCAGGGTAGCGCGGAGGACGGCCAGGTGACGCGTGTGACGTTCAAAAGACGGCGGTGGCGAAGCGTACACTGTGGGTATCCATCTTGCGATTCCGCGCACCTTGTGACCAGCGGGCGCATCTTTGTGGTGGGCGCTTCTTCACCTACGTCGTGCACGCTGCCCTGTGGAAGCGTGGAGCAGCGGGCGCGTCTTCGGTTGTGCCGTGCGTTATCTCGTGTGCCGTCGTACACGAGCAGCCACATCTTCGGCACCGCCGTGCGTCGTGAAAGTTGCGGTTTTCAGCAGCGGGCGTTTGTTTGGCGGTTGTGGCAGGCGTCTAGCTATGGAGAGCACGGGGTTCTCAGATATGGAGGTTTGCGGGCGCGGGCAGGGTTTTCGGGATGACGAAATCGACGCGGTGGAGATGGTCGTGACTGCGGTCGTCGTGAACACGATGCGCGGTGTGCCGTCCTCGTTACGCGACATGCTGGCGGAGCTCCGCAAACGAAGACCGCTGTTGCAGCGCATTGGCAAAGCGCCAGATTGCGTAGCCACGTGTCAGGCAGTCATCCAGTTGTGCGGCGTGCTGTCTTCTGGCGTTTTCCCGTGGGAGACCCCGCGCTGGTGGATTAAACGACGGACTGGCCGAACATGGGAGGACCTCCGCCTGTGTGACGGCGTGATGGACGAGTACTACCGTCAGAAGTTGCGCTTGTCGATGGCCCTGTTCAGGCAGATCGTGGCCGCGTGCGCCTCGTACGTGGAGAAGAAGGTGACACACTATAGGATGCCATTGCCGGTGGAGCAGGTCATCGCGTTCGCGCTGTACAGGTGGGCGTCAGGAGAGACGTACGAGAGCGGCACGTCTGCCTTTGGCATCGGGAGAGCAACTGGACTGCAGGTCGTCCGCGACGTCACTTCGACATTGCTGCAGGCGTACCCAAACGCGATAAAGTGGCCAGTGGGCCGTAGACGCGCGCAGATTCTGAGCGCTTTCCGTGACAAGGGTTTCCTCAACTGCTTCGGCGCAATCGATTGCACACACATCTTCATTGACAAGCCCGCCGACGCACCATCTGCCAACTACTACGACCGCAAACATAAGTTTTCCGTGCAGGCGCAAGTGGTAGTGGATTTGGATCTGCGGATCATGGACGTCCACATCGGATACATGGGAAGCGTGCACGACGTTCGTGTCCTGCACAATTCCCAGTTGTGGAGGCGTGCACAAGCTGGCGAGCTGTTCGACGCACCTCCGGTGAGTCTACCGCACGGAGTTGTCATGCGAGGTTACCGGCTAGGCGACAACGGTTATCTTGTTGTATGCCCCTGGATCGTGCAGCCGTACGGAGGAATCGACCAAAGTCCTGACGAGGAGCGGTTTGACACGCGCAAGAAGGTGGCGCGGGGGTGTGTGGAAAGAGCTTTCGGGCGGCTGAAGTGTACGTGGCATCTTTTCTTGCGCACCCACAAGACGAACCTGGATACCTTGTCGCAGCAATTCATGGCAGTGTGCACTCTGCACAACATCCTCCTAGACGCCGGGATCGACTTCGATGAAAACCTGTTGTGGGAGGTGGATGAGAATGGTGTGCGCCGGGGAGTGGACTTGGCCCCTTGGGCATTGTGGGGAACGACGCGGGCTAGCGGCAACGTTGCACGAATGTCGACGGGGACTTGTTGTGTAACGCTCTTCAAGACCGGCTGACTTTGATGTAGGAGAACGTAGACGCGTGATGGGGGTTTGGTGCGTGTGTGTGTAGGGTGTGTGTGTTTCGGGGGTGTCGGGATTGCGGACGTGAGTCAGTGCGATCGGTAGGAGGGTTCATATTTTGACGTGCCCCGTGGCCCGCAGTTGTGGTCCGCGAAGTAGCTGTGTAGAGCGGACGGATGCATGGTCGTCGGTGATGACTTCGTTTGTTGTGTTCGTCGTGTGGAGGGTTGCGTGGTTCACACGTACATGCGAACATTTAATATTGGAACGACCTTTTTTTTCCCCTGGTGTCAGTCGCTTCAATTTTTTATTTTTTTTTGTCTTTTTGAATGGATTGAGCTTCCAGCTGCAATTTGTATGTTGTTCTTTTGTGTCGTCGGCGACTCGCTCGACTACATTGCTATCATGCGGTGGGAATTGCTATTTGTTTGGCTCCTCAGTCTTATGTGTTTCATGAAATCTTGTTCGTTTCAGGACGAGTCTTTTTTTTTTTCTTTTTTTATAGCAATGTTTTTATTAATTTTTTTGTTTGTCTCAATTATTACGTTGTCAGTTCGTCTGTCACGATCGTTTTTGTGTGCTGTTGGTCGACCTCATACAACGATTTTTTTCGCAAGTTCGTCTGTCACGATTTTTTTTGTGAGCTTCACAAAATGTTGTCGAAAACATTGATGATGGTTGGTCGACCTCATACAACGAATACAAAGCGCATTTCAGGGACGTCGTCTTTGGTTGTGTGCATGCATGCGAGGCAAACATCTTTTGATCATCCATCGCAGAGAGGATAACAACGGTGCGAAGGTGGAGGGCAGACAAACAAAGAAGACTAAAGAAAAGGTGCGGTGAAAGCACTTTTGAATTGCATGTCGATCGAACTGCGATGATAAACACAAAACACATTGAGCAGACAAACAAAGAAGACAAAAGAAAAGGTGCGCTGAAAGCGCCTACGATTTGCTTGTCGATCCAAGTAGATGATAAACACAAAACACACGAGTGTCTTTAACGTACCCGTCGTCGACTATGACGACCTGCACACTACACATCTGCACTAAACGTAGCACACACGAAATCAACCAATCAACCGGGTTTCGCCGCACTGCCGACGCGCTAAGACCCCCCCCCTCCGCGGTGACGAAACGGCTATAAAGTCGCTCGCATGCAAAGAGGCAACTACATGACCGGCCACGTGTCCACTCGCCCGCGTTCACACAACAACAAGCCCCCCCGGATACCTACCCACTCACCCGCCCAGTCGTACCGCCCACCTCCCCCCCATCTACGCGCCAACCTTGCCGTCGTCGTCATTGTCATCATCGGCGGGCCCCGAACCCAACCAATCGAGCTTCTTAGCTTCCTCCGGCCCGTCAATCCTTGCGTCGTGTCTGAACACAATGCCGCGGGCTGCCCATCGAGAAAGGTAGTCGGGGTGCTCTCCAAACGTGGCGTTTGCCTTCCCGAGCCTTTCCGTGACGACTTTCACGGCGAGGCCAACGGATTGACGATGGTCGAACGGCCGATGCATGGACGCCACGAGTGTGGGCTTCGACACCAGCGTCGCGAAGTAGAAAGGTTCGAAGTGAAGCGGATCGTCTCCCGCCATGCGCATTATCCACATGCACGCCGCCAACAATAGTCTAAAGCAGTCAGCCAATCGGTAAAGACGATCGTGCGAGATGAACTCACCATCGATGACCGCCCCCATTTGCACCGCCGCCCGGAACGCATGCGCGACGCAGATGATGGTGGACTCCTGGTACGCCGCCATGTCATCGTCGTCCGGTCTGTTCTCGACGTTCACGGCCGCGAACCACAGCGGCAAGTCCATGGAGAGATCTATTGTGTGTGCGCAAACCACAGGGCTGACGACGTTGCACCACTCCACGCCGTACCACATAGCTCGCGCTATGTCCGTCGCCACGGACTCCAGCGAGTACTGGAAAGCAAGATTGTAACCCCTCGGGCGGTTCCCGAACTTGAAAACCCAGTCGTGCAATATGCGGAGAGCGATGTTCTCCACTGCCGATGCACGAGAGGTCGCTTGTTGCAGCTGCGATGGGTCGGCGATCCTGGCTATCCGCGTGCTGGATTTGGGCATCACAACGCTCCGAGGGATCGCAGGCGGTGGAAGTCCGCTGGCGATGGCGATGAAGTACTCTCTTGTCTCGTGTACGATGTTGTAAAGTCTTCGCCCCTCCCCCGTCGCCCAGAAAGGTTGTCGTCGACCCAAAGGACGACACAGTTTACGAGGTCATTTGACAACACTCCCCTACACGGCCTGTTCGAACCACCTTAGCTGCCCTCCCGATCACTCCTCTTCCATCCACGCGCGTCGTCCCTTGCCATCGCCACAACTCCTCCCTCCTCTCTCGCTGCCGGAACAGGGGGCGCACTGCCCGAAACACCCGCAACTGCGCCCGCCGCACCTGTCGCCTCAACCCCAACTGCGCCCGAGTGCGCCGTGACTACCCCACCGCCGCCTCGTTGGACGGACCCTCCTTCAGCATCCACGTTGCAAGGACGTGGCGCAGCCGTGGTGGTGGGCAGCCTACCCGTGACTGTCGTTTCTTCAGCGAGAGCGTGGCCTGAAGCCGCCGGCGGCGGGGTGGCTGCTGTGTGACTGCGTAGGCGGCATCTTTCCAAGGGCTCGTCATCGTCGTCACCAACATAGTGGACGTCAGTGTCGTCAGTCCGCCTATCGCGGGCGCGCACTTACTTCGTCTCGGGTGGAGGGGTCATCAGCCTTTTCGAAGCGCTGTGATCAGATTGTCGTTGCCCTCCACTTTCCCGAACTCCATACGCAGTCGCCTGTGCCAAATCTTCGTCAGTCGCAAAGTCGTCGTCGTAGTCGCCCCCCGCTTCTGCCGCTTAACCTTGCGCTCCTCCAAGAGGGACCCTTGACGACGCATCGTCCGACCGCAGCCTCTTCGCCTTCGGGATATGCCTCCAACCTTTTCCAGTCACTTGGCTGTCATCAGGCAGTCCTTTGCGCTTCTTCCCACGGCCCGTCCTTCGTGTAGACATGTTCCCTCGCGACCCGTGTACGCGAGCCACGCGACCCGTTTTGAAGACCGCCACGTGTCCACTCGCCCGCCGTTAAAAACCTGACAGTTGGTAAATCTGACGACGACAATGACTCCCGTGGCGAACTGCCGTGACGAAGAAGGAAAGCCGCACGACGCAAAAGATCTGCCAACCGAAGGAAGAAGAGGTTGACTTGCGCGTGGCAGACAGAAGGACGACGACGGCGGCGAGAGCGCTCGACGGGGAATAGGTTGGAGATGACAGCAGTGAGAAGATCGTCGACGACGGCGCTCCACGGTGAAAAGACTGACGGGCGACGTCCGCGTGCACGGCAGAAGGACGGCGACTCCCACGGCGATCGTCCCCATCACTAGACGGTTACGAAGGCTTCAGTTACGGAAGTCGACAGTCATCTGCGGCGAGAAGGTCGTGGCGCTCTCGTGTCGGCGACCTGGCGTGAACAGCACGCGCGGCGGGCTTTAGCACAGGTGCGCGCAGTTGGGGACGACAGTCGTGCGGCTTCGGGTGCGCAGATTTGAAGTGATCTGATCGCGGTGGACTGCCTGTGACGCAGCGTCCCACTTCGCGGGAAACTGCATCGCCAAGGGTGGCACGTGCGACCGCCCAGGCTATACGTGGCGTGCCATTTCGCTCTTCCCTGACGCGCGAAATGACCCTTCTGCGTCCCTGGCGACGCGCGTCACATCACTAGCCAGGGAGCAAAATGAAGACCAAGCACCACCCGCCCTGCACGTCGAAAATAAACCCCCCTACCGATCGCTATGACCCACGTCCGCAATCCCTACCCCCAAACAATCCCCAAACAACCCCC